AAAAAAAAAAAAAAAAGCTTTATTTCCAAAGAATATCATGGCATTGATAGAACTCCCTGAGACCCATAAGCCTTTTTTTTCCCCTTAACAACTCACTTAATATTGCTGTGTTCCTTATCTTCATTTGGAAATTAAGAAATTGGATCAGATTGATTATCTTTGGGGGGGTTTTTCACTTAAAATATAAATTTGATTGCATTGTGTTTAGGTGAAAGAGTATATAAAAAGTGGCAATTTTTGTAATAAAGCTTTTAAACATAAATTTATTTTATTTTTTTTAAACACAAATTTATTTTTCTCTGACAATTTGTTTGAAACTTTTCTCCTCAGTGTTTTTCTTTCTTTCTTTCTTTCTTTTTTTTTTTATTGAATGGTAACTGTGTACATTAATGCACTTCTGGGGTACAGTGTGATGTCTTCACACACAATCCAAAATCTCCTCAGAGTTTTTCAAGGCAACATTCTAAGTATAAATTTGACAGTAGATTCCAGATTGCTAAGAGTTAAGGAATGATAAATGGCTGATAAGAAATGTTAGACAACCATTATACAGACTTTTTTGAGAAGTGTAACAAGTAGAAAACAAAGTATCTGTGTGGAGCAGGATGAAAAGAAGAGGTGTGTATATGTGTTTTAAGAGAGAACAACTTAGATTAGTTTATAGGATGGCAAGGAAAGAAGCTAGCAGAGGAGGACAGATTGAAGATAAAGGAGGGAAAGGAAATGTTTGTTGGGGAAAGATAAAGGGATCTAATGTGTAAAGTAATGGTATTACACATGCAAGTGAAGTCATGAATAAGGCTTAAAATAGGAAGGAACACCTCCTCACAAAGAGGAGTCAATACGTTTTAGTATGCTTCTTTTATATGTGTGTGTATATGGCAGGAACTCATTTATTGAATTATTTTATAAATAATTTCTACAGCTTAAATTTGTATTTAATAGTCATTGAATAAATCATGGTTTTTTTTCTTCTAGGCACTAACCGTGACATCTATGACCTTTTTTATCATCGCACAAGCCCCTGAACCATACATTGTTATCACTGGATTTGAAGTCACTGCTATTTTCTTTTTCATAATTTTATATATATTCAGACTTGATCGATTAATGAAGTGGTTATTTTGGCCTTTACTTGTAAGTGTTCAGTTTCATCCTTAAAATTTAACTACTTTTTCCTACCATAGTGAGACATTTTAATAAACTCTTTCCTTCAGCTCTCTTAAATCTCTAAGGTAATCTCTGATAGGCTGATAGATTTAGGAAGGAAGAACTCTTCCCGCTGCTAATATGTTCAGTATTGTCCTTGGGGGAGGTTCTCAGGGAACCCATAGAGCCTAAATTCTCTGTACTACATCTATTAGTAGATGCAGCTGATCTTTGTGTTAGAATTCACTTAAATACAGATTTTTTTTTTTTT